GAAGAACTGAAATCAGTTTATTGAAACAATAGGATAAACAGAAGAAACTTGAACTATGAGAAATTAGGAGGCAGAAGAAATCAAACAGCCTATGAGCTCATCAGGAAGCTATCAGATCAGAAATAGAACCGCCTTTGGATCAGGTATGTCATTAGCTCTAGAAGAAGAAATAATGCACTTTTAGCCTACTTAACTGCACACGGGAGATAATTCAATTACGAAATCAAATATATGTCCAGAAGCTCAATGCCAGTTGCAATTATACTAACTACTACTGGTATTATTGTTATTGTTCTTAAATCAACAGCTCTGACCATCGACTCATAACGCCAATCAACTTACATATAAGCATTAAAAATCATCATTTGCAAAATAAAATGTTGAGAACAAGGCTCAAAGAAATCTTAAGGCCTTAAATCTAATAATAATGTGTACAGATGACGAGAAGTAAGAAACAGAAACCTCAATGTTCCCATTTTCTTTAAACAAGCAACAGTACCTACAATTTTTTCTGACCCAATGTTTTGTAACTAATGTTAAAAAGAAGTCCCATCTACGGAAACATGCTTGCATCTACTTTCAGTTGTTTTACAGAAAAGTTAGGGCCTGATGTTACAAACAAGTCATGCATACAGGAATTTTACGCACCTGTTTCTCAATTTCCTTTGTTAAAGAGTAAAGATCAAATTTTATATCCATCTTCTGCAAGTATAGTGCGAAAGCTTGCAAGTTGTGGATATCCGTCATCATCAATTCCTGGACCCCAGGGTGTTGCACCTTGAGCAAGACAATAATTTTAGAACCTTATAATCGCATGAAAGCTGCAATGCTATGAGTCAATTTCTCTTACCTTGACAACAATATCTTTTTTATCACCTTTGAGTCTTGCTCTGTGAACCTAATTCCAAGTACAGAAAACAATAGTTGGACCACTTAGTCGCAAAGTAATGTTAATTCTTTTTTATAACTAGAATGTAGCTCAAAGATACTACATTTAGAAATAGTCTTTTATTTGGCTTTGAACTGTCGTACAGGTTCAAATCATGTGGCCTTGTAAGAGATGTATAACACTGGTTCTTAGGTTAAAGCTACTGCTGTTATTAAGATAGGGCTCAGTCCCTACATAAACCATAGAATTTCAGAATATACTGAAGATTGTTATCCATGAGAACATATCAAAAACAGCTAAGATTATCAAAAAAGAAGAAAAAGAATCGGCCCGAGTGTGAGGGAACAGGTTGCAGACCTAAAATAAATGAATAAATGTGTCTCCTCTCTAATTACTTGAGCTTTTAGACAAGGCAGTCACATACTTCAATAAATCCAAATGTTTACACTAGCTGAAAGGTCAATATTTTTAACATCTGTTTGAGAAATGCCCATCAGTCGGGGGCGAAGCAAGCATTGACTGTACGGGTTCGGTTGAACCCAGTCACTTTGGTCCAAACCATGTATTTGTTTTAAGAAATTCATTTAATATGTACATATTATTAATTCATAACCCAATAACTTAAAGGTATGAGAATTTCGAACCCATAAACTTCAAATTCTGGCTCTGCCTCTGCCATCAGTTGCTCGACGATGAGCTTTATGATCAAACGTAATAGTTACCTGTGCAATAGAAGCAGAACCCAGAGGATCAACGTCAAATGTTTCAAACAATTCATCAAAATTTTGGCCCAATTCCTTCTCCAGCACAACCCTGACCATGTTATACGGCGTAGCAGGTGCTTGATCACACAGAGTAACTAACCTTCTCACCCATGCAGCTGGGGCCAAGTCTGGCTTCCCAATGATTTGAGCAACCTAATACATCACATCCACTTTATCAAATCTCACCTCAAAACTATATCCTAAGTATTTAATATGAACTGTTACTGTCGAGCGAAAATTTAAACCCTCTGATCATTGAGTAATATGGAGGCAATTTACTATCTGCTATAGAGCTTAGAAGAATAAATTTTAACACAATACATCAACCTCAAAAGAGTTAATGATAAATTTTCTGCAAACATACTGCAAACAGTCCACCCGACATATTCCAATGTCCATTAAACATATAAACCTGACCAAATATATTAAAACAAACCATTAGATACTGCTTAGAAAGGAGGAAAGCAGCAATCTTTCACTTTCCTTTTTCTTTCTTTCCTCGTACTACCTATATCCCAATTTATGCGATGCACTTCTCCTTTTAGTCTGTTCCAAAAAATAATTATGCGTTTTTATGTTTAGAAATAATTTAACTTTAAACTTCCGCTTTACACTTAATGAGATGATTTATTGCTACACAACTATCTATCGAATGCTTTTAGACCATAAGTTTCAAAGTCTTTCTTTTTTTTCTTAAACTTTTTGCCATACTGCCAGTCAAAGTGCGACACATAATTGAGACAGCAGGAGTAGTTAATAATAGGAGTGGCGAACGGGCGGGTCGGGTCGGATGTGGTTCAGGTCGAAAACGGGTAATGAAAAAAATGGATCAATTATCCGACCCGACTCATATTTAATAAGGATAAAAAAACGGGTTAACCGGCGGATAATATGGGTTACCCATATTATCCATGACTTCTTGGATATGATCACTTTTGGGAAAATTCTTAGTCACCCTAACTTGAGGAACCTCTAATTTGAGGTTTTACAAATGTAAAAGTTAGACCCATTGGTTATCCATTGGTTACTCATTGGTTATCCATTTTCTAAATGAATAATATGGTTCTTATCCATATTTGACCCGTTTTTAAAAAGTTCATTATCCAACCCATTTTTTAGTGGATAATATGGGTGGTTAACTGTTTTCTTTTAACCATTTTGCCACCGCTAGTTAATAACAAGAATAATTTCTCAAGATTGAATCAATTCTTGAAAAAAGAAAAATGGGAAGCTGGCTACAGTTTATTGAATACCTTTAGGAAGAAGCCACCAAGGTCAGAGCACATATTATATATCTTCTCAGCTGCAAACTCATGCTGCCTCTCCCACAGTGCTTCTTGTTTTTGCACATCTTTTGCAAACCCAACTCTCAATTGGAACACCTAATATAGAGCAATTAAAACCCCTAATTTACTTCAGTAACCCAATGAACCAATAAATAACTCTCAAATATATAAGGAAAATGCACAGAATAACTAACCAAAAAAAAGAAAAAAAGAGTACTCCTCCTTCAGTCTCAAATTAACACCTAAATTAGAGTATTTAGCTCAACCACAATGTAACTATTTATTACTCCCTTTGTCCAGGCACATTTTCCTTTTTAGTTTGTCCCCAAAAGAATGGCATCTTTCTATATTTATAAAAATTGAACTTTAAACTTTTCATTTTAACCTTAACGGGACGATGTATAGCCACATGAATGTTGTTTTAGACCGCAAGTTTCAAAATTCTTTCATTCTTTTTTAAACTTTGTATCTAGTCAAACATCAGTCACATAAAATGGGATAGAGGATTTACCATTTTGTAGTTTGATATCTATACCCAACTTCTTCAAATTTTACAAATTTATCTGGTCAAAATTTGGGATTAATATCACACTGCAACTTGGTTTATTTCTCCTAACAAAGTACACACAGCACACTTACAAAATGAATAGAGTACCTTATAACCAGTATAGATATCTGAAACACGAACCCAAAACTGGAAAGAACGTTGCCAAGGTCTGATACAAGAAGATAGCTTTTCTTGAAAGTCCTTAATGTCAAATTGAATATTCATGGCTCCCATAATTCTATACAAGGCATTGGTTTTGGTAAATTATATTACAATGAGATAAACCAATATTAAAGAGACCATATTTTACCCTTTGTAGTTTCTTTAAAGAGCCTGCATGGCTCAATAGTACAAAAAAATTGAAAGGACATTAATAGCCATTCACCCATTCTTTTGCTTGTGGCTGAGAAAATATTGGTATTTCTTTCTTCTCTTTTCATTTAATTTTTCTTGAGGGTTGCTTGGAATTCTAGTTAGCACCGGGGATTTTCTTGAAATTGATGGATATTGGATGTTACTTAAATTTCCAAAGAGGGCTTAAAAATTAAAAATAATCAGATTTACCACTAGTAATTGAAAAATAATCACAATTTCAAAAGTAATCAAAATTCAACCACTTTTTCATGTAAAGATAAAATCTGAATAAAAACACCCTAGAAATCCGGAAATATTCCAGTATATTGGAGTTCACATTTTTTATATATGAGCTTCCAGCATAATATACTGGAGTTCCAACATAATATGATGCTGGAACTTTCCGTGTGCTGGAGTTCCAACATAATATGCTGGAAGTTTATACACCGGAGCTCCATAATCCGCATATTATGCTGGAACTTTCCGTGTTTCAGCAAATATTTTTTAATGACTTTGCAAAAGCTGGCTATTTTTTGATTACTAGTCCGAAAACTGGATAGCCCATCCTATTTTCACAGTATTTCAGTCATTCACTGTCATGAACCCCAAAAAAAAAAAAAGATTTGGTTGTACCTTAGATATATAGCTTTCGGTCAATACAAAATATGCTATACTAAGTTATTCACGACATCTTTCCCAAAAACCAATTGGTATAACTCATTTCCTTGAGTTCCTAATAGTTTTACTTTTGGTCAATAAATGGCTAATTTGTGAATCATCCAGATAAAAAATAACCTGGTGCACGAAGCACCACGCGTTCACGCAGGGTGCGGAGAAGGCCGGCACCTAAAGAGGGTGTAATATCAGCAATCTACCCTAATACATTCCACAGCTCGAACCCATGACAGTAAGTCATACGCACCTTAAGAGGGTGTGATATCGGCAACCTACCCTAATACAAGCATCAGTAGCTAATTCCACAGCTCGAACCCATGACGGTAAGTCACACAAAGACAACTTTACCATTGCTCGAAGGTTTCCCTTCTTTGTGAAAGATCCAGATGTGTTACATAATATAGCATACGATATGTGATAAACCAATTCTTTAACTTCACTTAAATAGAACTCTCAATCACATCCATCATCACTAGCACAAAAAGTTGAAAGGAAATAAGATTTTAGAAGATACTCTGAATGTTTTGAAAATATACGCGTATCCCAACAGAGAAAATCTCTTTGATTTCATAAAATTACTAAATGGTAGTCCGCGAGCTCGAAATGAAAAGGAAAATCACATCCAGATTAGTGCTACGCGAGATTGAAGAAAAAAAAAATTACAGGCCACCAAACATTTTCAAACTTGATGGTTTAACTGATTCAGAGATCAATGACACGAGACAGCTTTTGAATGCGATTCAACAAGAAGTCCCCTTGCTTGATAGTTGCCTGGTAAAGAGCATTCTTTGCATCAGGACGATTGGTTTCCAACACTCCAGCCACTTTATCAATCTTGCAATGCAACTTCCCTGCTGCAATGAACCGAGATAGTTCCCTGAATGGAAAAAAGAAAATGCTCAATTATTATGGATGTTACAGTCCTCAGTCCGACATAGAGCATTACACATCAGTGTTCAGTGCGGTGCTAAAGAAGAAAGCACTTACAAATCGATGAAATCTTCAGAGACCCCAAAAGCCTTGGCCATGGCCTCAATTGTAACACTCTTGTAGGACTCCAGAAACTGGGAATACACAACTATTCTGACTTCCCTCATAAAATATCTAAAGTGTGGCTGCAAGTACCGGTCCAACTTAATATGCTCCGTCAAGCCAGCTGAAAACATCATTAAGGTCAAAGTCAAACATTTGCAACTGATATATCATTCAGGGCCCTGCATGACCCTAGCGATCAACTTCTAGGGTGAATCACAAGTCGAAGTGTATAATAGATATAGCATGCTCACCTCTCTGTAACTCAATACTAACATATCATATTTTAAACTACCCTATCTATACACATTAACAGGAGTCTTATCTTTCTTTTATGCAAGGGTCAGCCGTTCTCTTATTGGCCCATCTCCAATAAGCCAATTAGTTCAGAAACTGACACGAATTCAATTGGCCTACAAATTTGTATTAGAGCTCTGAAGGGAACTAAATTTACAAGCATTAGGAGTAACTCTTAATGAAAATGATATCCTACTATGCACAGGCTTTTTGACAAACACTAATCTATTTGAAAAATTCCAGGATTCTGCTGGAAAGTTCATAGATTAGAGCTACCAGCAATATTCAGAAGCTCAGGAACATCCAAAAGGCCAATTCAAATCTCTATTTGAGGTCAAAAATACATTCCATGATATAATTGCATTATTTTGTTTCGATAGTGGATACTCTAAAATCTTCTCATCCTGATATAAACCAGGTGCCAAAAAGAAAGTCATTTTTTTTGTGTTGATATGTGCCAGAAAGTTCATTTTTACGTCTTTTTGAGCTTACAACACTCACATGACTAATAAAGAGCCATACCTTCATGCTTTTATCAGTTGTCTAGATATTAAAAAGAATCTTTAAAAAATTAGGAGACTGTATAACAGTTGTTCGACCTATTTCACTATCAAGGTCATCTGACACTCAAAATTTCCAAACAGGATTATCAAGAATCAAGACTTTGCAAACGCTACATTCTCTGTCAAAATTGCCAGAAAAAATCCATCAAGTTTTATAGGACATAATCTACATTAACTTAAAGATAAGGACCATTGCGAACTACAAACGCACACTTGGAGGGTGTTTGGATTGGCTTATTTTAAGTGCTTATTGGCTTTTAAGCATTTTTTAGTTTGTGGTGTTTGGTAATGATAAAAAGTGCTTAAAAGCACTTACTTTTAGGCATAAAAAGTACAAAAATAAGCCAAAAGCCAAAAGTTGGGTATTACCAACTTATGGCTTTTGGCTTTTAGCTTAAAAGCTTTTTATAAGCCAATCCAAACACCCTCTTAACATATGAAAAGAGAAAATGAATAACAATGGAAAAGCTTACCAAATGCAGAGAAAAATGACTTGTACTGACACTCATATAATGAGTTCATGAACTCAGAGAGATATGGGATCTTTCCTATAACTGTCAAGATCTCTGGTGCATCCACTACCTGCAACATATACCAAAATGAATTTGCAAGTATTCATCACAGTAACATCTAGGACATTCCGGGGAACACAAATCTCAAGTTCACAAATCCCTCATCCTACAAAACAAGGATATTAAAGGGAGTAACAGTTGAATACCTTCTGTTTCAAGGAAACCCGATCCAAGGTAATGATGCTTGTAAGGACAGTATAAAATATGAAAGTATCATAAGGAAAAATCTCATATGTGGTAAAAGTTGAGATAGAATCGAGGAAAAGATCTGCTGCTTTCTTGAAGTTACGAGTGGACATGCAGAACAACCCTTCATACACCTTCAACCTGTTCTTTCTCTCCCAGTCACCCCCCTCTTCAAATAATCTGTCAGCAAATCATTGGGAGTGAGCTTAATAACTAGATAAGGCATTTAGAACATCGTGTCTCATAACATCTGAACTACTTGTTAGACCCTCCTACTTACTTCTTTGCCTTATCTATGCTTTTAGAAATGAGGTCAAAATCCAAGTCAAAGAATCCCATCTGCAAGGTATAGAACACCAAGTCCATCTTTTGTCCAACTGCAACAGTTTTGCCCTCGGTCACCTTGAGTTGTTCAAGTGCTTTCTCCTGGATTTTAAATAAGATAAAGATTGATTGAGATTTGCCCAGTGTGAAGTGTGAATAAATAACAACTGAGCAATTATTGAGAGTGACGAGAGAGACAGACTACCTTATCACCAATCCGAATGTAGAACAATGATTTTGCCAAATGAGCTTCTCGAACTTCACTTTCACCCAAGTTTTCTTCCGCATCAGCAATCCTTCATGAATGTATCAAGTTAGATGTGTGGTTAGGTGTAAAAAACAATGAAACCCGACACCCTCCTCTCACTTTCCCCGACTTTGAATAATAAAACACAAAAACAGCACAACCTGGTATGCCCAATTTGGCTCAAAACAATATACCAAGTATTCATCCATACAATGCCGCACTATGACCTTTTTAAGAATGATAAGCCCATCCACTTAGCAAGACATTATTTTCTCTAAATTTTAAGAAACATAAGATTAGGATAAACCAAGATACCAACTGTACATAGCAACGTTACCAGTAATCATGATTATTGACATCCATAATAATACACAATTGCAAGCGCACTTCCCATCTCCAAGCAAAATCTATAGGAGGGCCGAAACTGCTCATAGTTTCACCAAAATATACTTCACATGTTCTTCAGATATACCATATGGAGAATATAGGTGGTAAATTCTGAAACGCTCTTGCCCCGAATGCAGGGTTTACTAAAAACTGAGAAAGAAAACTAGACTATAGAAGTGTGCAGACTGTGCTCCAGCCAGTATTACTTGCCTCTAATAAAACTTAGCTTCGATAGCATTCTGAGCACATCCTTCCCAGCAACACCCCCCGCCTGTTGTCATTCAGTCTCTTTTATAATTGCCATCATGTACATAAAAGCCAAATCTTTAGATTACAGGTTTTCAGCAAACCAATAATTCACCTTCCACTTTCACAACCCTATGAATGAAACTAATTTTTAATTAACCCACAAAATATGACCTTCTCTACAGGTTGGAAGAAATTTTAACACCATATTGTATTGCAAAGTTTCTAAAATCCAATACCCTAATTATTTGGAATTCTAAACTGCAAGGCTACTATGTTCTCTTGATGAGAATGTCATCTATATATACGATTTGAACTTATTAAAAACACTGACCATATGATGTCCAAGTGAAATAGACTAGAATATCAAGTGCAGCCCCTCTCTTTACCTATTTAACCTATTTCTATTCCTTAACCTACAGTCTCCTTCCACCAAAACCAAATAACCTAAATTATCCCTATTCCCAACAAAACTAGCCTTGCAATAGCAACTCAAGCTGCACCTACCCCATCATAAGAGGGACTCAAAATCAAATCTCTTAACTTCATACTACTTCACTCCTTAATTTTCTCCCATTTTGCATCTCAAGAAATCCAAAAAGTGATCTTTGTCCTGCACTTTAAAATGATCATCTAATTGTTTTGAAATCAGATTCTGCAACCCTTTTTCCGGACCGACACATCCCCAGGGGTTAATGGGCACAGTTCAAACTTTGGAGGATAATGAGCCCGTCCCTCCAACCTTCTCCATTTAAATAACAGGTTTTTTGTTGGAGGTTGGGTTTCATAACGTGTGGCTAACCCACACATCACTTGTTGCTCTTACCTCTTGAAATGAGATCCTGCAACTTTTAGTACCATATAGTTCCTAAATATCTAAGTATTACTTTCAGTATATCAAAAATTGGGTCAAATTAACCTTTATCCAAAGAGGTCTCACATTCAAATCCCATCAAAGATACAAATTTATGTCCAACTTATATTTAGTATTCTCACTACTAATATGTTCTAAAGGGTGGCAATTTCCCTACACTCCACCCAAAAAACTATACAGCAAAAGGAACAAAAATAAGACTATCAAAAACAACATAAACAACAGCTACGCCTCAGACCTAGCAAGCTGGGGTTGGCTATCTAAACCCTCACTGACCACGTTACTCCATTCAAATCGTCCCATGTCAACATTATGCAAATATAAAACTCCGACGGAAAATAAAATGAAGTGCAGTGTATCAAATCACACTATATGCAGATAAAAATAACGAAAAAAAGACTTACTTTTCATCGAGTTTTTTGAGTTCATCGGCAATTTTAGCACGCATAGCATCAAGAACATTCTGATCCACAGTCAAAACCCCATTAGCAACTAGGGTTTCATACAGCGGAACCATATCTACAAAACCCCATTTACAAACAAATCAGTTCAAACCCACAAAATGAAATACAGATTTAAAATTTAACAAAACAAGTCTAAATCTTCCTAAAAATTATCAATCAGATTTACCATTGGAGACAACAGATTCCAAAACTTCTTCACGGAGGCGAACTTTATCCAAGTCATTGACATCTGGGTGTGTCAAAAGGAAGAGTTTGTGTGCAAGAACAAGCTGGGGTTGTTGTGTACCTTCTTCCGCATCCATGGCTACCTTTTTCTTTGCTATTTCTTGGCTATTTTTTGTTTCACTGTATTTCAGATTCTTTCTTGTGGAAGAGTTTATACAAAGTTTTCTTCTTGGGAAAGTTTAAAAAGGGGTGGGGGTTGGGGGCTTCTTTCCCGAATTAATATGGGCTTTAGAGTTGGCTGAAGTTTGGGCCAGATTTTGAACTCAAATATACAACAAAAAACAAGGTGATTTGCACAAATATGATTATTTCGTGTCACAATTTAAAGGAAACTTACACAAATATCCCAAATAAATCTCAACTTATCAACCTCTAGCCATTAGTCATAGACTTACCAAAACTAGCCAACAAAAATTGAAACACCAAATAATAGGGTTCTTTCTATCAAAGAATCACATGCAAAAATCACCTTCCATATTTTTAAGCGTGATTAGCAACATTAGATACATGACGGAAAGAAAATTTCATGGACGGGGTAGCAAATAAGGTGATGAAATACAAAAAATCTATACAATATTCTAAAAATCTAAGCAAAAAAGGAACTTTTTCAATGGGTATAGTTGAAATTCATTGAAAATATATAGATAAGTCAATATACAAAATTTGAGGAAGATTGGAGGTGATATGGACTGGTTTTGTATCAAAATTCGTAATTAAATTGAGTTCAAAAAAGTCTTTTGCGACACATGTATCACGCATGTATCTACACGGATATACATGTGATACACAATTGATACAAATATGATACATATGTGATACACAAATGATACACAGTGTGATACACATGTCATTTTTTTCATGTTCAGCTTTTACTTCAAATTTTCAATTCAAACCACCTCAAAACTTCACCAAATCATCCCAAAACTGAGATTCAAACTCCTTAAGTTGTGCCCAATCTATTCTAATAACACCCACTCAAAACAAACCAAAAATTTAATATTTTTTGCTTCAAATAGCTGATTGCTAATTTGGCTAATATTAGTAATATTTTATCAATTGACCAACTTTTTTAATGAGCTACTTATAAATGGACATAGCTGGTAATTTTTCCAATTTAAATTTTAATCCTGTTAATTAAAAATTAAAAAATAATCTAACCCTAAATTTTGAAGCACGTTGTCATAACTTGAAGTACGATGTTACAATTTTGAAGCACACTGCCACCACTACCAGAATTTGAAGCATGTTGCCAAAATTTTAAAGCGCGATGTAATAATTTTAAAGCATGCTTGCTAGAATTTTGAAACACGTGCCAGAATTTCATACTTCAAACTTCAGGCATCGTGCTTTAAAGTTCTGACGCAATGTTATTTTTCCAATTTTTTTTAATAGGATCTTAATATAAACATTGATTGTAAAAAGGTCTATTCAGCGTAATTTTCTTTTTTTTTAAAAAAAGAATCATCTAAATAGTTATTCATTCACCCATTTAAATTAAGGTTGTCCAACAAAGGGAAAAGGAAATCTATTTCAATTTAGCTGATAAAATTACGCAAGTAGGAATTCAAGTTGTGATTTAACCTATTTGACCATGCTTCTCCAAGGCCAAAAGTAACAACAATAACAATAACAACAACAACAACAAAATCTAATATAGTCACACAAATAGGGTTTGGAGGGGGTAAATAGTACATAGACCTTACCCCTACAATAAATATAGAGAGGTTGTTTCCAGTAGAAAAAAATGAGAAAAGAGCAGTAGCAACAAGCAATAACGAGATCAGGATAGAAGAAAATAAGGCGAAAGGAACAACATGCAGTGATAAAAATATACAATATCGGAATACAAGACTGCCACTAATAACACTACTGAAAATACAAACAACTATCTACTAACCTATAACTTTAATCATTAACCTCCATACCTTTATAACGAGCCGACCGGCCGTTTTGAGAATTAGCGTCCTGTTCGGTGACTTAAGGTCTTGAGCGTCTTCGCATTGTGTATCATGACTTACGTGTGAGGCCGGTTTTGATTTTCAGATGATTCAGAATTTATTTGAAAGAACAATCCTTGTTTTAGAAGCTTAAACGGTAAAGAGTTGACCGGAGTTTGACTTTATGTAGACGACTACGGAATGGTGTTTTGATGATTCCAATAGCTTCGTATGGTGATTTTGGACTTAGGCGTGTGTCTATATTTGGATTTGGAGGTCCATAGGTTGAATTGATGCATTTTGGCGAAAGTTGAAAAGTTAAAGGTTTTGAAAGTTGAGAAGTTGGACCGGGAGTTGACTTTGTTGATATCGGGTTCGGATTGCTATTTTGGAAATTGGTATAGCTCGGACGTGTCATTTGGGACTTGAGTGCAAAACATTAAAGTCATTCCGGGTTGATTTGGTATGATTCGGCGGGAGTTGTAGAAGTTGAAAGTTCATTAGGCTTGAATTGAGGTGCGATTCGTAGTTATGATGTTGTATGATGTGATTTGAGACCTCGAGTATGTCCGCGTTATGTTTTGGGATTGGTTGGTATGATTGGACGAGGTCCCAGGGGCCCCGGATGTGTTGCGGATCGTTTTGCGCCTTGTGGAGCTTGATGAAGAACCTGTGTGCTGATGTTTTCGCACCTGCGGATGGGGGACCGTAAAAACGGCCAAGGAAGCGCAAGTGCGGATTTTGGTTTAGAAGGGCTGGGACTGTAGATGCGGTCGTGTTGTCGTAGAAGCGAAACTGCACCTACGATGTGTGGTCGCAGAAGCGCTTTTTGAACCGCAAATGCGGTGTGGCGCCAGTTGAGGGGTTCTCGCAGGTGCGAGACTATTAACGCAGAAGTGGCCATCCCAGAAGCGACCTTGTGACCGCAAAAACGGAATTCTTGGCAGATTACATATATTTCGAGGGTTTGCCCATTTTATCATATCTTGAGTTGTAGACCTCGGTTTTGGGCCATTTTGGAGGGGTTCTTCATGACTTGGATTGGGGTAAGTGTTCTTTACCCGAATTTCGTTATATTTCATGATTCCATCTTTGTTTTTATCATTAAATTGGTGATTTGAATCGGAGAAATTGAGGATTTTTGTAAAATCTTTCAAAAATGTAAAATAGGGATTTGATGTTGATTTGATGTCAGAATTGGATAATTTTGGTATGGTTGGAATCGTATCAGAATGGGTGTCTGGATTTTGTGAGTTTTTCAGGTTCCGAGGTGCGGGCCCAGGTTGACTTTTTAGTTTTCATTAAAGATAGAAGGTTTATTATTCGGAATTGTTTCCTATGATTTTTATTTATGATATTAAGTTATTTTGGCTAGATTTGAGTCGTCTAGAGGTTGTTACACACGAGAAGGTCATTTTAGAGTATTGATTTGGCTTCTTTGACGTAAGTATCTTGCCTAACTTTGTGTGGGAGAACTACCCTTTAGGATTTTGAGTTTTTGTACTATTTGTGTTATGTGAAAGCCGTGTACGCGACATGACGAGTGCGCATTCGGGCTTATATGTCAAAATTGACCGGTTTAGACTCTTAGGTTTCTTTCATGTTTTTATTTGAAATTGTTAGCACATGTTATATCTTTTATTTGTCTTGTTTACTTTCACATGCTTTATTCGAAGTTGTTGTTACATGTCACATCCTTTACTTGTCAAATTTACCCTTATATGCTTTATTGAAGTTGTTACTTCTTTTATCATTATGTTACTTCCTTTATTGTAGAGTTACTCTTAATTAAAATTGTTGCATGATATCCTTTTGATGCTAGGTTATTCTCATGCATTTAGACGTAGTTGCTAGTTCTATCTCTTTCATTATTAGCTTACTTCATACACTAGAATTCGAAGTTTCTATTTCATGGAATTACCTTCACTATCGAGTTTATCCTTAAGAAATTAATTAAAGTTGAAGTTATTGAAAGCCATTAATCTATTTTAACAGAAGTTGTGTTTAAAGGGGGGTTTTGTTCATTGTTGAGTTACTTTTCCGTTCATTTTGTTGTTATTGAGATTCTATACACATTGTGTTTGAGCCGTGGGCTATTTGTTGTGGAAATATTGATATTGTTGGCTCTTTTGGAAAGGTTGTGGCCTATAGGCACTTGTGGTACGAGTTGATATGTCGTGTTATTGTGATGTTAGCACATGTGAATTGTTGTGTGGAATGGTTGTTGTTATACGGAGCATAAGGGCGGCATCTCATTGTTGTTGTTATGCGGGGCATAAGAGTGGCTTCTTACTGTTGTGAATTGTGAGGAGTGATACAGGTGGTTATTGTGTTATCATCCGGGCGAAGTGACAAGGGTGGCTATTATGTGGAGTGATACGGGTGGCTATCGGGGTGATACAGGTGGCTAATGATATTCTCAGGGCGGAGTGATACGGGTGACTATCGGTGAGCTAAGGATAGCAATGTCAGGGATGATGTGTTATGGCATGGGGCATTAGGTTGACGATATTCGTGTGATAGTATGATTCTGCTTGTGTATGTCATACACCTTACGTGACTTGTTGTGTTGCTTTCAATAATCTACTCGATGTCCTTGATATTTCTTGTTGACTTGGGCTGTAATAGTACACTAGCATAAGCATACACTGTAGCATGCCACTTACACTAGTTTAGGAATACGAAACTTAACATTTATTGATCATGCCCATGTATTCTTGTATTATCTGCTTTCATGTTGAAATTGAGCCTCTGACCATGCTGGGCAGATTGTGATATTAAGCCTGTAACCACGGCGGACGGATTGTGATTGTGAGCCTGTGATCATGCCGGGCGGATTGAGATATTGGCACGTGAGTTATCCGTGCGGTCGTGATTAGAAATGTGGGCACAAGGTGCCGTGAGCATATGATTTGTGGGTTGATGATAAGTAGGGATTTGGACAGCTTATTTGCTCTCTTTTACTTGCGTTTTAGCTCAAAAATGCTTAAAGGTATTCCCGAAAACTAATGAAATGTGCTTACTTGCAGGAATATTGGGAAACAATCCAAAGAAGTTAAAATCAACTCAAAAAGGAGTCAAAAGTGAACAAGAACCAAAACCGAGAAAAAAGGCTAGCAGTACGGACCGCACAAATCTAGTGCATCCGCAAAATGAAGAATCAGAGAGTAGTGTTTTGGCCAGCTTAGGGAGTGTGGACCGCGCTAAAATTGTGTGGCCGCAGGAGGTCAAGT